AAGCTGAAAACCCCCCGCTCCTTTTGTCGAACTGGAAATCCATCCGTAGATAGTTGACCTGCTTTGGGCCTCACAAATGCAAAGTCACATGATTATTCCCATTATGTATCGGTGGCAGCAGCAATAGTAGAGAGGAAGTTTATTTTATTTCATATATTATTTTATTATCTATGTATTTCATTTTGAATTTTATCAGTTTCCTTGCAAGAGGAAAGGTATCATAGTAGTAGTTGTGTTTGGCTATGACTCAAGTTGATGTCAATCGTAACTTAGATCGTTCGCTTAGGAATTAGTTAACATATTGAGGCGCCAGTAGCTAGCTCCTCATCCGCAATAAATAGCCTGTTGCGTTCCATGACGGCCATCTTCTCTTCTCTTCTCTGTGATCTGTGATCTGTACAACTCTGATATTGATATCATCGCTATATATCATTGCTATATATCATTGCTAGCTATCATCAATATATACTAGTGAAATGGGAATTGGGGTTTGTGCGCTTTTGGCGGCGCGAGAACAGGGCAGCTCGATCACTCAGTAGAAAACCACAAGATCAATTCGTACGATATCTAACAATCTATCTCGGATAACATATAGAGGAAGCGCATGAAAGGAAAAGACAAAATGATGAAGAATAAAGTATAATCAAAGACATAAGAAATCACATATATAAACAACCATCTTGTCTATGAATGCGTTGCGCAATTGTTGGTCGTTCGTATGGTGTTCGCTCGTTGAGAGAAAGACACATCCAACACTGGTAAGGTACGGAGTAGATATTTGTGAAAAGGGATTCTCAGTGAAAATTTTACCCGCGCCGGATCCCCCATTACACTAGTACCATTGATAAATATCATTCATTCAAGCAGATGAGCAGATAAATAATCAGATAGACAGTCAGATAGTTGTCTAATAAATCAGTATTATTAGATAGCTAACTATCTAGCCAGCACTCTCAATTCTATCAGCAATTAATTGAATATCACACAGATAAATAGATAGCTAGCTAGCATTCTCTTTCATCAATAATTAATTCAATATCAAACAGATAAGAATAGAAGCTATCAGTCAATTATGAATCAGTATTTAAAAAAAAAAAAAAAAAAAAAAAAAAAAAAATTAAGTATTTAACTGTAGATTTGTAGATTCAATTATTTCAGTTATAAAATAAAACAACTTTTAATTCTTTAAGAGTTTTATATAATTCTTAGAAACTTCATTTTACTCTGTCTAATAAGCTATATTCTCTAATAATAGTTATAAATTATATAGAATTCATCTATACGAGTCATATACAGCTGCTTATATATTTCATTATGTTCATTTGAGGGGTTAAACAGTGAGTTTTCAAGCTGGATAAGGCGAGCGCAAGCGAGCGATTGCAGCTTGCAGTAAGGATATTTCCGTGACTGTCAGAACTTCACTTTGCTGAGAGGAATCTTGCCAGTTGACCTTTCTCAGGGTATCCTGGACAATCATCTTCTTCCTTGGTTTGGTATGGCAATGCAGAACCAGGTCTCGGGATGGCACACGGATGACTGCCTTTTTCACATCGGGCGGGAGCAGGTGGGTTTGACCGGACCGCTTGAGGTGACACCGCCTCTAAAGTTAGAGTGAACGGATGCGAGGAGTTCGAAGGTCCAGACAGACCACATTCATGGGTACATATGTGAAGTTTGGAACATGAAGGGGAAATAGTCCTCACACTCCAGAACTATAACGGTTTTGCTTGAAAGCTAACCCCAGCGCATGAGTAGCTGAAATTCCCAATGGAATCTAGCGCATGAATTTCCTGACGCACATACAACAGCCAGGGGTCGGCCATCCCAGCGCCATCCCAGCGCCAGGTGCCGCTTGTCGGCTTTCCCCAGTAGCCCCTAGGCCAGGCAAGCTACCAGGCGACCGTAGCTATGTATCCGTATCTCTTCAGGACGGGGAACCTGTCCACACGGCATGTGGGCCGTGGACCCGCCGCGGCTGTTGCTCGCCCACGGCGCCCACTGTCCAACCGCCCAGCGCTGGGGCTGGCGCCGGGCCCGACCCACGGCTGTGGCCTGGCCGGCGGGGGGTTCGGGCCCCACTTAGCGCTGTAATTTATGGGCGTCACATCCCGTACGAAGATTACACTCTTGCCCTTTTCAGGACATCAACAACCTTGCCTCCAAAGGAGTCGGCGTGGATATTCATCCAGTTCCAGTTCTCTCCCTCCTGGCAATAGCTGCGGCATGACGCGTGCGGGTTGCTGCGAGTCCGGTAAAGAAACCACGGACTCCAACTGTTTTCGGGCCCCTGAGGAGCTGTATGGTCCTCTCAGCCTCACCAGGTCGACCCTTCGCAAGAGCATCAGCGTTATCTGCATCAGCACCAGCACCAGCACCAGCACCAGCATTCGCATCAGGACACGCCCAATAGGGCCAAGAATGAAACAAAAGGCATTGAAAAGATAAACCGCTTTGGTGAGTTGAAACAACCCTCGTCTGCCTCCCCTCTTCTTCTTCTTCTTCTTTTTTTTTTAAAAATATCCCCTCCGCGAATTTTCCTTGTTGTCGTGCTCCACAGGATTCAGCATCGAGTTCCTCTCCATCCTCTTGCCTCTTTGGGTTAATTGGCCGACTTCACATATTTCCCCTTTCTCTCCACCTCCTGCTTTTTACCGAGGTAGTCATTCTCTTTTCCCGTCTTCTATGCCCATTGCGCTTTTGGTAGCTATCCCCTTGTCCCGTTATCCCGCCCCCATACTACAAATCTGTAACAGTTCCCCGGAATCAAACATATGTACTGCGACCACTAACACAATAAATGTTCCGCTCCACGGCGCAGAAATAATAAGCGCATGCCACTATGGTGCGAAATCAGGCTTTCATACGCTAGTCAGTCTTTGTAGCGTCAATCCTCTTCTAGTGCTGCCAAAAACCACTTGCACTCCCTGTGTTTGACAGGTTTCAGAGCATGAAAGCTTCGGATGCCCTGTTCGCAACTCTATTCGCCAGGGAACATTAGACGAGCTGCCAACACCGTCCCTATACGCATATAAATATATATATATATATATATATATATAATATCATTCTATCTATGTTTTTCAGGATCGCAGCTTAGAATCCATCCATGTTGCTCACCGTGAAACCTCCCCCGCACAACGGAATCTTACCTCATGAGTACGCTGCACTTCCGTCGTCGCCTCTCCCTCACGGCCGTCTCGACCATCGCCATCAACGCCACGCGTTGACTCTTACCGCGCTTTACGCCCCTCGTGTTTCGTCTCCGAATTCTCCTATCGCTCCAGTTTCTCCTCCCACGCTCTCTGCGTACTCCCCCCGGTCAGACGCGGCTATGGACTCAGCTAACCGATCCCTCCCATCGATGCCCGCCACTCCTGCCCCTCGGGAACGAGATGTCCCCGCGATGGCGGCCCCTATGAATACCCCCATGCCAAATTTACCGGCACCACCCCCTCAATGGCAAAATGAATCAATGCGCCAATGGCTGCAAACAAAAGCAGAGGAGTATCGGCGGGAACAAGAGGAGGAACGCACGCGCCAAGAAAGCTACCGGCTGGACCAGAGAAGAGTTGAGCAGTCAATGCTTCGAGAGTCCCTCAAGGCTGGTGTTCCTCCCTGCATGGTGCCTCTGATATTTGCCAGTATGGGTGGTGGATATAATCTCCAATGGATTCAGCAGCATATGTCCCAATTGCACGGATGCTCCTCTCAACCGCATATTCTTCCTCAGCAGGCATCCCATACAATGCCGCAATCTCAACCTCAACCTCAACAGTATCTACCACCCCAGCAGCACCAGCAGAAACAGGAACAGAAACCTGCTCCTCTCCCGTCTCAACCTACGTCCTCACCAGTCGCTCACCATCATCGTCCTCAATACACACAATCTCAATCTATGCCACCCCCATCTCAGATGCCGGCAGCTGGTCAAAGTGTGGCTCCTGAAAACCCTTGCCAGAGCCGCATGATTCCCCCGAATCCGTATGCTTCACAGCTTTCGCCCAATATTAAAGCGGGCCACTCCTCCCAACCTGAACCCCTATCACCATCATCCACTGCCTCGTATGGGCGTGCATCATCGTTGCGCCTGCGGAATCAGCCCCACAAGCCAAACAGCTCCCGACGCTGGCCCTATTATCGCGCATTAATACATCAGTGCTTCATATCCAACAGCCATCCAACATCTCCTATACCACAACTTCTTCATCGACGTCAGTGCCCCTGCAGCAGGCATCCTCATTAGCCAAATGTGATGCGGGAACCCCCTCTCAATCGCAACGGCAGCCTCAGTCATCTCCGTCCATCTACTTTCACCATTGGGTTCCACCTGGTCAATCGCAGCCGAACACACCGTCAACCAAAACTCCGAATAATTCCCCGTACTCTGGAAACCCGAGTTCTCATCTTCATTCTGAACATCAAATTTCCCCAAAGAAACGAAAAGCGCAATTTGTCCATCAACCAGCTCCACCCCCACCACGTTCTGACACAGTAACATCACAATTTTTACCAGGTCGGGTTTCTCCAAAAGGTACCGGACGGAGCGGGGGCCAATTACGACATCACAGACAACAGCTGGACCAAGAACCGAGGCATGGAGATCTACCAGAATCAGGAAGGCCTGGCGGACAAATGCATATGACTTCGTTGAGCAGCAGCACGGACCAGGGGGATGTCCAGTCAACATCGAGAGGACGATCAAATTCGGATCGGGAAAGATAACGTGGACAGAGCAGCAACAAAACAACGACGACGCGCAATTTGCTGGTGACCACAATGGCAGAAGCCATGGTAATTACCCTGGCGCCGTCTCACGCGATGACTCTCAAGGCGGGCGTGGGGAGGGGGGAGGGGGAGGCGGAGGACATGAACTCTCAGCTTCCTACAACAGCAGGCCCTCTAGCTTCAACGTATATGGTCCAAATTATGGATATTCTCATGAGAGTGCCGGACCATCTAATTCAGGACCCGGAACCGACACTAATAACTATCAATCCCCTGCGGCTCGATCACCTATTCACGCTCGAGAGGACCTCCCACAACAATCCACGGGAACATAGCGTTCACTGCTAGTTTTATTTATCATCCTTCTAGTTGCCTTTGGTTTATAACTACACTGTCTTATTTGAACGCCTATATTTTAAGCAGGGATTTCGTTTCTTGTCGTTTTCATATATCACATCGGATCTTAGAGCAATTTCTTATTATTTGTTTTGGTCGAAATCTCTACATGTTAGGATGTTTTTACTAGAAATTGTCATATTGTGAATTACTGCATTAGAACCGAAATTTGCCATCTTTTTCCGCCGCCACCTTGCGTCTCATATTTTTTCAACTTCACCTTTCAGGATCTCATTTTCATTTTTCATTGTCTCCGTTGACCTCACCATCATTCCTTTTGTCTTGTTTGTTTTAACAAGTCCACGGATGAAGAAGGGTTTGTTTTCTCATCCGAAAAACTATTCTTTTCCTTTGTATAATAAAAATTTTCATGTTATATATGTATATATAAGTGCAGGGCCATTATCATTGGCAAAGCCTTCCACAATCATGGTGCCTTTTTATGGCAGAAAAGTTAGTGGGAATTGCCAATACTTATGGCTTAGTATTGTATATATATTCCTTATATTTCCCTTTATTTCATTTTCAATACTCATAAATGAAAAAGTCATGTCTCTAACCGCCCTTTACTCGTATTTTTCAGACGTTCTATTCTCTCTCTCTTTTCCCCTTCGAAAGCCTTAATGAGCCCTCGCTTGTGCAGATAGAAGAGAAGAGAGGGAGCTAAATTTTGTCTCCTCTCCCCCCCTTTTTTTGGACCCCTGACACTCAAATATAGATTGCTTTCTTTTTTGGTGGAGATATCGATGCGTGATCACTTTGTACCATTACGCTAATTTAGTATGGGAAGGTACATTTCATGTCATTTTTGATACGAAATTTGCGATGTGATCGAGTGAGTGGGCAGTGAAATACGTTTTAAACAAATTGAAGATGAAATTGAATACGAAGAGACAAAAATTGAAAGAACCAAAAAAAAAAAAAAAAAAAAAAAAAAAAAAAAAAAAAAACAATAGAAGAGTGGAAAAAAAGAAATGCCCCCGGCCAGGATCGAACTGGCGACCTTGAGATCGCTAAGTAGTTTTGTGCTACCTATCATATTGTGATGAGGACATGAATATGAGACTCACGTGATAACCAACTACACCACAGAGGCAATTGCTTGATGGAAGCAAGCGGGAGCCCGGTATTGTTACGTCAGGTGAGTGGGTCTTGTGCCCTCTCCATATGACAACTTTGAACGGGAAATAGCTTGAACAGATCACAGCGAGCTTTGCTTGGGGAGATGCCTTGTTGAGTTTTGCATTCATGTCTATGCAACTATGTAATTGGCCGCTTTTTGGCATGGATTGCAAGATATTTACTACTTTGTACAGTACATACCTTGCCCTGTCGATAATCGGAGCAGCAGAGCTGGATGGATCGGATCTCATCCCTTTCTTTTTCTGAGAGAGATATTTCCCAGCTGCTGCCGATGGCTGGGTCATTTTGCTAGTTCTGCGTAGAAGGCTCTCTGTCTTAGTCAAAGGGAAATACGCAACTGCGCCTTCAAAATGTCTGGCTAGGCTGGCTCGTCGATCCCAAAAGATGGGCTGCTGCTAGCGAGGTGATCGGGGGACTGAAGGGCGAAAAACTTCAGCTCCGCGCATGTTCCCTTATTTATTTATTTATTATTTATTTTTTTTCCCCCAGGCGCCCCGTTGAACAGGTTCCAATCTTGGTTCGGTTCCTCGCTTCGAAATTTTGATGAATCCTGCAATCTTGCCCTGCCGGATCTCCCCCACCATTCCATTCCGCACGAGCGGTGTGGAAATGTTCGTCTGGTCGTCCGTTATGCGCCTTGTGGCTTGCATCTTTCGGTCTCCAGTGGCTGGCAGCGGAGGCCTACATATACAGTGGCGGCCCCTCGCACCCTGCCTGATCTCCCGGGCCATAGCGGTAGATCGGAGGTGAAAGGCTCAAGCGGATATGGCTGCCAGACCCGTGACAGCGAGGATGACGGCGCGCTGTGGACTGGGGAGACCGTCTTCGATATCACTCGGCGTCCTACCCCGGGAAACCAACGGGTCAAATGGACTAGACACGGTCTGCAGCGGATTGTATCGCATGCCTACTGTTTTTTTTTTTTTTTTTTTTTTTTTTTTTTTTTTTTTGGGGCTCGGGCCGTCTACCCAGGGCAGCGACGGCGAGGATAACAAATTTGGTCTGGGCATGATCATCTGGGAGACAAATGACACCGACAAAGCCGATGCGTGGGGTGTTTATCGCCCGTGCTTGGGGCCAGCAGGAAGGGACCGGGCATTTCTACTCAAGGGGCTTGTCCACTACGACAATTCAACCGAGCCCCCCGACGACACGACACTGGGGTTGAACCTGGTTTGCACCCCCGCCGGGAAATGAAGCATCTGCTGCACCCGGCCCGTCTGGGCAGCTATTTTTCAACGGCATCTACATACAACGGCGTCAAGGAATCCAAGGAGTACCTCGGAAAGGCGGCGGTGTATTTGGGAGAGCTCGGCTTCACCGAGGACCTCAACTGGACCGCCGGCTCCGCCGGCTCAGAGGGTGATTTTGGGTTTCTCTCCTACGGGGGTGGTACCATTCGACCGGGGACGTCCGTGGATGGAACGCTCACCAACGACACCATTCTCCTGCGGCTGGCTGGGTCGTGAGCGTCGAAAATCCTGGAGGGCGAGGATACCCGGACCAACGTAACCGTGACAAATATTATAATATACCGAAACGGAATTTGCTATCACGTTCAACGGCCGGTACGATTTGCGCAAATTCATCCCAGCGTCTCGTGGTCAATACGACCCGTGCGAATGCTATGGCTTTTATCGCAAAAGGGGCGCGACCGTACCCTCCCGCTGGCTGCTTCTCCTTCTTCTTAAGCGTCGTGCTTTCTTTGCTCCCTCTATACCAATTTGTGACTTTAATTGTTTATACCATACCCTTGATCTTTACTGTTGGGGGTTGGCCTTGTTTTGGATAAGTTAGATGATACCCGACATGCGTTTAATATGGAGGGGGAATAGGAGTTTTAGTTTTATCGCTTAATATTCTCCTTTTAAACGATACTGGGGTAATATTCCCAGCACAGATAAAGTACATGTACAGTATAATTGAGATTTATGATCATAGTAAGGTAACCGAGTATAAAATAATGGACTCCAAAAATCAAGTTGAATAGAATGAAGAACAATGGAGTACATATATAGGGTGTTATTGGCGGCCATATTCAAATTGTATCTTTTTTTTTTAGCTCCCCTTCAGTTACGACAACAAAATGGAAGGGAAGCGAGAAGAAAGATGGGAAACTTGACAAAGTGGAAGTTCATGAATGCTTAAATAGAGATGTATTATTATTCAAAGACTATCATAAAATTTAAAAATGAAAACAGATGAAAGTGTTCCTGTGAGGGAGTTAAAAAGAAAGGTATAATAATAATTATAATAGTAAGCGAGGGAGGGAGATAGGAGACAAAAGTCGAAATATCCTGAAAAGAAGAACAAGACTGCGCATGCACGCACGCATGCGCACCCACACACAGAAAACAGAGGGGTATCTAGATACTCTCATATCAAAAAGGGAATGAGAGGAAGAGAAAGAGAGGACAACGGAATAAAATAAAGGAAAAATGGAGGATGGGTTAGAGACAGAAATTCAAGTTCAAATACAACATGAAACAATAACAAAAACCCTTTTCTCTAATTTTCCTCTCAGAAATGAGCAATTAAGATTAATGAGGAAAGAGAGAAAGAAAATAATGCCATCTATAATGAAAGATGAGGCATGGGACGAGGGGGGTATTATTACAAGAAATAGGATAAATAGGTGAACAGAATACGTGGGTGCGCGAAGAATGGAATGCTTAGATAAATGGAGAGGGGGAGCGTGAAATAATTAGAAGAGTCCATGGGTGTAGATACTGAGAGAAAAAAATAGAAAAGAAGGGTGAGAACGACATTGTAAGTGTTTTGGATTAGTTCTTTTTTCCTTGACGTTGTGAGGGACGCAATAAGATAAGGAATCGACGAAACAACATTGGGAGTTGAGCAGGTGAAAAAAGGGCATCTAGCGAGCATAGATAAAATTGAAGTTAGAATAAGGCCGTGTGTTGCCTTCATCTGGAGATCCGGTGAGAGCCAAAATTCCCCCACAACAGGAGGGGATCTCATGTGTAGTTTAAGATGTGTCAACCCTTCTTCCGACGATGAACCTTATACTCGGCCCTCGCAACGCGCATGAAGACCTCCACATCTTTAATGGGAATCCAGCTCGTAAGCACCTTCATGGCGTTCTCGAAATCGGATTCTAGGATGATATCGCGCATCCCATCGATAAGGGCAGCAGAGGTGGCATGAAGGACATCGAGGCTTTTCCCGAAGGGGCTAGCGAGAGGTTGCGGCGGTTGCTTCGATGACGATGCTAGCGGGTTTGGTTCAGCGTTGCCATTTACAGTGCCAGTGCCAATACGGGAGCTTGTTGGGGATCTGGTTGCGGAGGCGGATGTGGATATCGGTTCCTCTGAGTCTCCTAAGAGCATGAAAACGTCCCAGACGCGGAGCTGAGCAGGGAAAGGGATTGAGTAGTTGAATAGGGTCAGGTACCATCGGGTGCCGTACGCCGTTGGGGGAATTCCAAGTTCGGTCTGAATGGGAAGGGCGTTAGTAGTGGATACTAGAAGGAGGGAAGGAGAAGGCGTAACATACCAGTTTCTCAGCAACTTCACCCCCTTCAAGCCATTCCTTCTCAAAATTACCAAGTGCTTCCATCAATCCCGAAAATCCAGATCGATAGAGACGATCTAAACCCCTAAGTTGCCATAGCCTCACGAGCATAACAAAGGTATGCTCTTCATCGTAATAGGCAAGAAGAGTTGCGGCAAGCGCAGCCATTCCCTGGACGTACCCCGTGTCTGGGAAGTAGAGGGACATCGCATGAAGGACACGGAAGAGAAGCCTCTGGCCGCCTCGATAGCGACGACGGAACATAATATGGCTACTAATCGTCCGTGGAACATCAATATCAATCTGCACGTCGTCGGGGGAGCCCAGCTCTTGGAGCTCATTGAAAGTCCGGATGAGCTCTGTATCTGTCGGGCTATCCTTGTGTTTTTTCGCACTGGCATTTAGAAACGCATACCAGGCGGTTGATCGCCACCTGTCGGGTATTCCTTTCCAAGTCCGTTCGATAAGTTTCGAGCTCTCTATGTCGAATTCGAATGTCATACCAGCACCGTCCTGAGGTTTAGACACGACCTTGGCCATCTTTCTCCACTTATCTTCTCTCTCCCATTCCTTTTTCTTCATTGCAAGGGCATGTGGGCTGTTATCATCCTCGACAATTTGACCTGGGAGAGTTAACATGTCACTAGCTTCATCAACGAATTTGCGATTTTTGTTATGGGGTAGCCTGTTTGCCGCATATCGCATTCTCGAGGATGATCTGCGAATGCTTATTTGATAGGAGCTCTGGGAAGATGTGGGTCGGGATTGCTCTGTCGATTTCCTAGGCGGAGACCGGCCGGCAAAGGACCGGGAGCTAGGCGCAGCAGAAGGTTCCCTCCGCAGTGTACGCTTCCGGCGCGGAGTTGTGGATGCGAGCAGTAAGCTCGTTGAGACTCGTTGAAGAACCGGAGGGGGTGCGTCTGGAGTATCCTCGCCCTTTTGTCGGGGAATGATGAAACCATATCGGTCAACGTCGCCAACTTGAATATTTTCCCAGTCCTCTAACCCGCCAGCAAGCTCAAATGGCTCTCTTGTGATAAAACTTCCTCTTCTCGAACCCTGCCCGGAAACTGAGGGAGTGGATGATCTTACTCGTTCCTTTTCACCACCGTCACTTGAGGCTGGAAGAGCGGATGGCTCATGTAGTGTAGCCTCCTCATTATCCAGGCCTAACAGTTCATTAATCTTCGCATCGTCGATGTCGTCATCTCCCATCTCATACATCAGCCGCACCTTTTGTGATAGTACTTCCTCATCGACCGACAATGCTCGAGCTGCAGAGCTGACTGGACGAGGACGTAGAGAATTGTTTGATGTGACATGCCTCGAACTTAGAGACGTAGCGGTCCTGGCTTTGCCGTGAATGCCCAGTGTAGTATTGTTATTATTTCCTCCACCGCTCGTGAGACTCGCTTTGCTATCCTGTTTTTCCTTCGACTGACTCCCGTCAACCTCTGCTCCAGAAGGATTTTCGGTATTATTATTTGGGCTTTCAGCAATTGATTCTAAGGAATCCGTAGTCAGGTCTCCAAAGGAACCAGTTGGGATATCTAGGGTAATTCCACGAAACGGCACGGGCTCGAGGGGTGGAAGGGGTGGGACAGCCGGAAGAGGATCAGGTTTCCGTTTTTTGAGGGGGCTCCATTTCCGCTCTGATCGTCGTGAACTCGGACGGGCGTGTTTTTCATCGATTATGATGCTTGGGATACTGGGAGGTGATTTTAGGCTCGGGACAGAGAGTTCGTCTGAAGCTAGAGTGGTTCTACTATCTCTCCTTGATGGAGCTAGACCAGAATCCTTCCTGCCCTCGTATTCCACACGATGAATTGGCTTGGTAGACGACGAAGGGGGCTCCGGAGAGGGATCTGATGGCTCTTTGGAGTCTCCATTCTGCGATTCGATTCGTAGATTAGAGCCCCGAGAAGGCGGAAGGGAGGGAGAACAGGGAGATGGGATCGGTGGTGGCGGAGACAGGGGTTCAGCAATAGCGGCAGCATTGTCGTCAATTGAGTCAGGTGCTTCGCACCGCGCACTGGAGCTGGTGAGGGGTCTTGCGGGGGAGACCATGACAGTCGCGAGATCTCCCGTGATGTTGAAGCAGAAGTTTCAGCTTTGGAATACGTGAGGAAACAGAGCAGCAGTATTCATTCGAGTCACGCCTGCCGCGATATGAGGGACGAGGGCGGAGTTGAACCAACCGTCGAGGTAGCAGCTGCGGTGGTACAATGGTTGCTCCGTCAGACATACAGGCATGCGATGGGGAGGAAGCACAGTAAGGTGTTGGCGGCGGTGTCCCTCGAATTAGAAATTAAAAGTCTGGAGAAACGTTTTGTTGAGCTAGCAGCAGAAAATAAAAAAAACAGCAGCTGGTGCCATTGATCAACAGGCGTTGGCCTCTCCCGTGAACGGCGCGAGGGCGTTAGTGTACTGTTGTAGTCGGAGTCAAAGCAGCCAAAAAAAGGGGCGGCGGTTGGACCTCCATCCTACCTGGGGAGTCTCCCCACACTGCCACGTGATCCAAGCCTCCACGATGCCCTAAACCCGATCCGTGTAGGTGAGCAGCCAGGGCTGTATGTTGATCTCGACCCTGGAGGCTTGAACCCGATATTGCAGTACTGATGACTGTATGTACATTGGCCCTAGGCATTGTTCGACGCCATTACAGCGGATTATCACGAATTAGTAGCACAGTGTACTCCGTACCTGTACAATAGATGTTCTGTGCATGTTATTATTAGTATTTGTCGCTTGGGAGCTAATGGCCGCTAACGAGAAGTGGGGGTTGTTAAAAATGAATTATACATCGCATCTAACTAATAATCCTTGGTTTCCATCTGCTCCCATGAATCGAGTGGGCTAAAAACGCCATTTATTCCCTGATATTCAAAAAATCGATTTCCTCCTTAAAAAACTCCGTTACTCGTCGTTTCCCTGTTCCCTCCGCCCCCTCCTGCTTGATAACTGTCAGAAAATGGATGATACAGGAAAGAAAAAGCAAGTTGCTAATATAGAATATAGAAGGAAAAGAGGCGGGTGCACACGCGCGTGGAGAAGCTGCC